CCCCACACCCATTCACCTGCTCCACCATCCCACCGCAGCCGTGTTCCATGCTCTGCCACCTGCTGCCGACTCCCACTATGTTCCACATGCGCCCCCTGGTGGTCAGTGCACGTCATAGCAACTGGGTGTTTGGTTATTCCACCATTGGTCTATTTGCATATGAGGGTTTTATATATAGATTATATATATATATATATATATATATATATATATATATATATATATATATATATTTTAGGAAGGGATGAGAGAGAGAAACATCAATGATGAGAGAGAATCATTGATTGGCTGCCTCCTGCGTGTCCCACACTGGGGATCGAGCCCACAACTGGACATGTGCCCTGACCAGGAACCAAACCATGACCTCCTGGTTCATAGGTCAATGCTCAACCACGGAGCGATGCTGGCCGGGCAGGAATTGTGATCTGAAGAGCAGAGCAGTCCCAGTTGTATTCCTGCAAAGTGATTGTCCCCTTTCGGGAATCGGCCCCTGATTGGCCTCACTGGCCTTGTCCACACAGTCAGCATTCAGAGCTTTGTGTCTATTGCTCCTTTTTATTCAGGTTCCAGTTTACATTTCTTTATCATTCTTCCCCCTCCCCCCGCCACACACTCACAGCTTAGCAACACTAAGGGAACTATTTTCATGATAGTAAGGACCAATTTATAAATGATTGTCATTATTGCTTAAATGACTTATTGCATTTTGTCCAGCTAAAATGGCAACTCCCTGAGGCTGGAGACCATTTCCCTGGGTCACTGCTGCTGCCCAGTGCCTGGTACCTAGCAGGGGCCTGATTGACATGTGTTGGAAGGCTGGCTCCCTGCTTCCACCTGCCAGGGTGTGCAAGTGGCCTGGGAGGCTTTTCCCAACTGCGGGAAACGTGTTTCTGACTCAGGCAGTGGAGAGTTATCTCACCATTAAGACTTCAAGAATGGGCCCAGCTGGTGTGGCTCAGTGTTGAGCCTTGACCTATGAACCAAAAGATCACGGTTCTCTCCCCATCAAAGACATGCCCAATTGCAGGCTGGATCTCCAGTGTGGGGCTATAGGAGGCAGCCAATCAATGATTCTCTCTCATCGTTGATTTTTCTCCCTCTCCCTCTCTCTAAAATTAATAAAATACTTTTAAAAAAAGACTTCGAGCACTGTGAGAACTTCAGCTTCAGAGGAAATCATACAATTTTAAGTTATGACTTTATCTCTACACCCGCACTTGTCCCATTTAGGAAGAAACTTCAGGGATGAAATAAGTGAATTAAGGACTCTGTGTCTGCGTTCCAGTTATACTTCAGCTCCATGTCTCCCCAAATGTCCTTCTCTGGCCTTGATTCTTGGCACCCCAAACGACCCAGGCTTTCCTTTAGATCATGCTCCTGTTTGTTCCTGAAGATTGGCCCAACTCCAGGTTTCATTTTAGCCTCTGTTAGTAATGAACAGTAGACACAGCCAGTGTGGCTCAGTGCTCACCTTTGCATTTCTAAACTCGGGGGGCCAGCCGAAACCCATTTGGCTCAGTGGATAGAGCGTCAGCCTGCAGACTGAAGGGTCCCAGGTTCTATTCCAGTTAAGGGCATGTACCTTGGTAGCAGGCACATCCCCAGTAGTGGGTGTGCAGGAGGCAGCTGGTCGATGTTTCTAAGTCTCTCTCTCCTTTCCTCTCTGTAAAAAAAATCAATAAACTATATTAAAAATAAATAAATAAACTCTGGGGGCCACATAGGCAGAAGGTACATGGAGGAAGGAGGAATCCAGAACAGACATGGCCCTGCCTGTTTCTGTCACCATTTAAGTTGCTGTTGTGATGTGGTGTGATCTTCAAACAGCTCTGGCTTCCCTGTCTTTTCTGTCCAAATCTAGTTTAGTTTGTTCATTTGGCTGGGACCCTTAACTGTCATTCTGACAGCGAAAGAACCCTGATGCTGTTGGAGTGGAGAGGACGTGTGGTCCTCTGGGGGCTTGAGCTTCTTTTCTGGAGGTCATGGTTATAACCAACATCACAGCCTCCAGGAACTGATTCTCAGGACTTGACACCTCCAGTCCTGAGACCCTCCTTTCCCCACCCACTGACCTGCCATTCGTGCTGATAATCTCTGCCCCTTTCTCTCCAACAACTGAAAGTGCTTTCTATCGTTAGCTTATTGTTCAAAACCTATTTTTAAGCCAATGAGAGTGTGTAAATGCTTAGAAAAGAACAGAAATGGAAAAAATGCAGAGTACATGATGGATGCAGGAGGCAGCTGTGATCATTCTAATTCACATTATTTCTGCACCAGATCTATCTCTGGCAGATGGACCTGCTATTGGGCAAAGTTTTTATTTATTTTTATTTGTGTGTGTGTGTCTGTGTGTCCCCCCCACCTCCGCCTTGGGAAAAGTTTTTAAAGCAACAGACCAAGCCAGCATGGCTCAGTGCTTGAGCATTAACCTATGGAACCATGAGGTCATGGTTTGATTCTGTAGGGTTGTGGGCTTGACCAATCCCATCAGTGATTCTTGTCATTGATATTTCTTTCTCTCATTCTCCCTTCCTCTCAAGTCAATAAAAATATATATTTTTTTAAAGAATCAACTCTGGCAGTCAGACATTCAATCTCCCTAGCATTGCTGACTTTCCTGTGATTTCTTCCCACCACTTTTTTCTTCCTTCCTTCCTTCTTTCCTTCCTTCCTTCCTTCCTTCCTTCCTTCCTTCCTTCCTTCCTTCCTTCCTTCCTTCCTTCCTTCCTCTCTTTCATATATTTTATTGATTTATTACAGAGAGAAGGGAGAGGGATAGAGTTAGAAACATCGATGGGGGCCGAAACCGGTTTGGCTCAGTGGATAGAGTGTTAGCCTTTGGACTGAAAGGTCCCAGGTTCGATTCCGGTCAAGGGCATATACCTTGCTTGCGGGCACATCCCCGGTAGGGGGTGTGCAGGAGGCAGCTGGTGGATGTTTCTCTCTCATCAACGTTTCTAGCTCTCTATCCCTCTCCCTTCCTCTTAGTAAAAAAATCAATAAAATATATTTTTAAAAAAGAAAAAAGAAACATAGATGAGAGAAGAACATCTATCCCACCATGGATGTGCCTACAACCAAGGTACATGCCCTTGACCGGAATCGAACCTGGGACCCTTCAGTCCGCAGGCTGACACTCTATCCACTGAGCCAAACTGGTTTCCGGCAGGCAATATGCTTTTTAAAAAATATTTTGTTGATTTTTAGAGGAAGGGAAAGGGATGAAGAGTTAGAAACATTAGTGAGAGAGAAACATCGGTCAGCTTCCTTCTGCACACCCCCTACTGGGGATGTGCCTGCAAGCAAGGTACATGCCCTTGACCAGAATCGAACCTGGGACCCTTCAGTCCGAAGGCAGATGCTCTATCCACTGAGCCAAACCAGTTAGGGTGGCAATATGCTTTTTTAAAAATGTTGTTTTAATCCTCACCCAATGAGTGAGAATATTTTTCCCATTGATATTTAGAGAGTGGAAAGTATGGGTGAGGGGAAGAGAGAGATACATCCACATATTAGAGAAACATCCCATTGGTTGCCTCCCGCTAGCGCTCCAACTAGGGGTGAGGGTTGGGGGGTGGAGGGTTGAACCTGCAACCAAAGTACTTGCCTTTGACCAGGAATTGAACCTAAGACCCTTTGGTTCATGGGTCGGTGCTCTAACTACTGAGCTAAACTGTCCAGGGTGGCAATATGCTCTTGGATGTGTGTCCTCGTTTCAGGTGGCTTTAGGACATTTTTCAGATTATGGTATTTGTGATTAAAAAATCGTGTAAAAAATCACAATTTTGAGAATTGTAGCAGTTGGTGTTAAAATCCAATAGGAAGTACTAAACCTTGTATTTCAACTTGGTAAGCTGTATATCCTGACCGCTTTAAGATGAAGAGGTGCGGCTTCCGGGAGAAGTTGAAATAAGGAGGATTCGGATAGGCTCCTGAGGTTGTTGTGCCTAATTATTTGCAGACTCATGCCCAAACCGTTGCTTAGGAGCTTCAAGCCCAGCGCACCCACCCACCCCCCTCCTTCCCCTCCCCCGCGCGCTACAAACACACACACACACACACACACACACACACACACACACACACACATCCTTCCCAGAGAACGGACTTCTCCTCCTGGGGTGTCCGGATGCCCATCAATCGCTCTAAGGACTGGAGGACTTTGTAGGGGGCTGTGCACGTGTGATGGTTTTATTCTATGCTTCAGATTTTGCTTGGCTAAAGTGTGCTGCTAAAAAGCAGCTTATACACCACTCCTTTCAAAGAAAATCGGCCTGGCCTGGGTGGCTCAGGGGTTGAACGTCAACCTATGACCCAGGAGGTGCCAGCTGGATTCCGGGCATATGTCAATCCCCAGTGTGGGGCGTGCAGAAGGCAGCCCATCCATGATTCTCTCTCATTGATGTTTCTCTCCCTCTCCCTCTCCCTTCCGCTCTGAAATTCATAAAAAGATACTTAAAAAAGCAAACCCTGTTTCTGTTTCTGAAAGTCCTATTTCTGCTTTTTTGGTGAGTGATCCGCATCCTTGCCCCTGGACAGCATTCTGGGGTGCCAGGGGCTGGGAAGGGGGTGAATGGAAGGGGGGGAGCCCCCGCCCTCCTGCCGGAAGCCGCCGGGCCTTGTGCGCCTGCGTGCTTCCCCACGTTCCGGGGAGGACTCCTCTCCCTCGTTCCGCCGGGCGGCCCTTCCCGGCCGCGGGCAGCCATCTTGCCCGGAGCTGGAGAGGGTGGAGGCAGTGGGGAAGGCAGACGCCGGCCTCGGGGCCGCCCCGGGGGCCTGGACAGCCAGGAGGCAGCCCGGGAGGCGGCTCCGATCCGGGGCCCCATCCTCGGAGCCGAAAAGGGAAGGCGGGGCGGTGGGGGCCAGGTGGGTGGGGAAGGCCGGGCGGGGTTGCTAGGCTGGGGGAGGGGCGTTGCTATGGCGACCGGGGGGGCGGAGTGAGGACCGAGCCGCCGCCGCGAGCCCTCCCGGAGCTGCCAGGAGCGGCCGGAGCGCCGACCATGCTGGCGGCGCGGGGTGATTTCACGGTATCTCGGCGCGGAGGGGCGCACGGTCTGCGGCCACGATCGCCTGGCGGCAGGGGCGGAGCCGGCCCCCTTCGCCGCAGCCGCTGACCTCCCAGGCCTTTCCCGCAGGCGCCCGCGGGCGGACGCGGCGGAAGAGGAGGCCGGGGAATGGCCGCGGTGTGGCAGCAGGTCTTAGCCGTAGACGCGAGGTGAGGCGCGGGGCCGATCCCCCGGGAGCGGCAGCGGCGTGGTGCCGGGCGGTGGCACCGTGCGGCGCGCGGGCATGCCGGAGGTGACATGCGCAGTGGCAGGGTGTGCCCTCCGCGGGCAGGCCGAGAGGGTCGTGGAGAGCATGCTGGGAAAAGGCGGGCACGTGGGCATGCGCAAAGCGGCTGGCAGCAGCCCCTTTGCGGGAGGGGAGGGGGAGGCGATGGAGCTCAGGCTGGTGACATCCTGTTTCCCACCGTTGTCCGCCAGACTTCTCTTACCACCATCGTCTCCCCGTCTCATCCCATCACCATCCCCTACTGACCCGCCCCCCGCCCCACATTCACCCCATCGCCATGTCAGACTGACCAGTCACCCCATACCAACTCCAGCCGAGCTGTCACATGCCCACGTGACCTCTCCATGTTCCTTGTCACTGTACACGCCCCCCTGCCCATTGCCACAGGAACCCCCAGCAGCACTGCTGATCACCTGCCATCCCGGCCCCTCCCTGCCACACACCTCACGCTCCTTCCCTGCCCTCCGAGTTGATTGATTCCATCTGTCTTGTGCCTGCTGCTCGCCTGCCTCCTGCCATCACAGGTACAACGCGTACCGCACGCCGACGTTTCCGCAGTTTCGGACACAGTACATCCGGCGGCGCAGCCAGCTCCTGCGGGAGAATGCCAAGGCTGGGCACCCCCCGGCGCTGCGGCGGCAGTACCTGAGGTTGCGTGGGCAGCTCCTGGGCCAGCGCTACGGGCCCCTCTCTGAGCCAGGCAGTGCCCGTGCCTATAGCAACAGCATCGTCCGCAGCAGCCGCACTACCCTTGACCGCATGGAGGTGAGCTTCCTCCAGGCCGCCTGCCAAGCATGCCACCTGCCTCCGTGTTTATTCAACAGACCTGTCAGGCACCTGCTATATGCAAGGCACAGCTCTAAGCTCTTAGGATGAGTAGAGGGCAAAGGAGATAATACATGAGATAAGTCAGTAAACAGACAATAAATAAGATAAACACATTGATAAGTAGGCAATAAACATGATAACTAGGTCAATAATCATAGCAAAGCAGATAAACATCCAATAGTTACCATTGCTTATAGTGGTACAGGCTAACAAGCAAAAAATAAAGATTAGGGGGCTAAAACAACCGTTGTGGAGACAAAGGGAAGCCCATATACAGATAAGATAAAGATAAGTGGTTAATTGACTTCGGAAAGGAGAGGGGGAGAAATAGAATCATTGATTAGCTGCCTCCTGCACGCCCCACACTGGGCATTCAGCCGGCAACCCGGGCATGTGCCCTGACTGGGAATGGAACCGTGACCTGGTTCATAGATCTATGCTCAACACTGAGCCACTCCATGCTGGCCAGGCAAGTAGCTATTTTTTTTTAAATACATTGTATTGTTTTTTTACAGAGAGGAAGGGAGAGGGACAGAGAGAAACATCAATCAGCTGCCTCCTGCACCCCCCCCACACACACACACACACTGGGGTGTGTGTACATGCCCTTGACCGGAATCGAACCTCGGACCGTTCAGTCCACAGTTCTATCCAATGAGGCACACCAGTCAGGGCAGGAAGCTATTTTTATTTATTTATTTATTTAGGAAGCTATTTTTAAAATATATTTTATTGATTTTTACACAGAGGGAGAGAGAACTAGAAACATCGATGATAGAGAAACATTGATCAGCTGCCTCTTGCACACCCCCACTGGGGATATGCCCGCAACTAAGGCACATGCCCCTGACTGGAATCGAACCTGGGACCCTTCAGTTCGCAGGCCGACGCTCTCTCCACTGGGCCACACCAGTCAAGGCAGGAAGCTATTTTTGATGGGGATGATGAGGGAAGGCCTCTGAGGAGGTGAAAGTTGATCTGGGACTTGAATGAAACAAGACACTGAGCTGAGTGGTTTCTGGGAGATGCCCATTCTTGTTCAGAGACCACTATTGAGTGTCTCCTGTCTGCAGAGCCACCGTGGTACAGGTGGGTGGTGGTGGTGGCAGGGGACGGGCTGAGAGGGGTCTGGTCCTGGGTATATTTTGAAGGCTCTAGACCTCAGAGGTTCTTGAGGGCCCTTTTCAAGATGCGCCCACCCTGGTCCTCCCTGCAGGACTTTGAGGATGATCCTCGGGCCCTGGGGGCCCGCGGGCACCGCCGTTCTGTCAGCCGAGGCTCCTACCAGCTGCAGGCACAGATGAACCGTGCCGTCTATGAGGATAGGTATGCACCAGGGACCACGCTGGGGGGGGGGGGGTGAGAGGAGGAGGGGAGCCAGGGGCAATGGCAGGTTGGATACCAGGACCTATCTCCTCTCATCTCCTCCCTTGGTTGGGGTCCAGGCCCCCTGGCAGTGTGGTCCCCACATCAGCAGCGGAAGCGAGTCGAGCCATGGCTGGGGATACGTCGCTGAGTGAGAACTACGCCTTTGCGGGCATGTACCATGTTTTTGACCAGCACGTGGATGAGGCAGGTGAGCCAGTAGGTGGCCGGTCCCATCACCACGAATTTGTCCCAAAACTCTCACGACCACCCATTGTACCTTTTCTAGAACGCAGTCTCTGGCCCACCTCCGGAGGAGGCATTGCCAACCCTTAAAACCTTCCACAAACCTAAAAGCCCTCTGTAGAGTGGCCTGCAAAATCTTGGGTATTTTGTCTACCATGAAGGGGCTCAGCAGCCCTGGCCAGTGTGGCTCAGCCTGTGGACTGAAAGGTCCTGCGTTCAGTTCCGGTCAAGGGCACGTACCTCAGTTGCAGTCTCCAGCCCGGCCTGGTTGGGGAGCTTGGGGGAGGCCTACCGATCCCAGGTCAGAGCCCACAACCAGTCGCTGGTCAGGGACGTGCGGGAGGCAACCATACCATGTGTCGCTCTCACATCGATGTTTCTCTCTGTCTCCCTTCCTTCCACGCTCTCTAAAAATCAATGGAAAACTATCCTCGGGTGAGGATTAGATTAACAAAAGAAAATTTGTTTGTTTATTTATATTTTTTAATATATTTTATTGATTTTTTTTTTACAGAGAGGAAGGGAGAGAGAGAGCTAGAAACGTGAATGAGAGAGAAACATCGACCAGCTGCCTCTTGCACACCCCCTACCGGGGATGTGCCCGCAACCAAGGCACGTGCCCTTAACCGGATTCGAACCCGGGACCTTTCAGTTCACAGAGCGACGCTCTATTCACTGAGCCAAACCCACTTCGGCGGAAAAAATATTTTTTTTTAATATACTTTATTGATTTTTTACAGAGAGGAAGGGAGGGGGAGAGAGAGAAAGACATCAATGATGAGAGAAAGCCATTAATTAGCTGCCTCCTGCATGCCCCACACTGGGGATGAGCCCGCAACCCGGGCATGTACCCTTGACCAGGAATGGAACCATGATCTCCTGGTACATAGGTCGATGCTCAACCAATGAGCCACACTGGCCGGGCAGAAATTTTATAAACAAAAGCACCCGGTGAGTGTGCTGGCTCCTACCAGCGGCTCCTTGGCATTGCAGTGCCCCGGGTGCGCTTCGCCAATGACGACCGCCACCGCCTGGCCTGCTGTTCGCTCGATGGCAGCATCTCCCTGTGCCAGCTGGTGCCCGCTCCGCCCACCGTGCTCCGCGTGCTGCGGGGCCACACCCGCGGCGTCTCGGACTTCGCCTGGTCCCTCTCCAATGACATCCTCGTGTCCACCTCACTCGATGCTACCATGCGCATCTGGGCCTCTGACGACGGCCGCTGCATCCGGGAGATCCCCGACCCCGACGGCGCCGAGCTGCTCTGCTGCACCTTCCAGCCGGTCAACAACAACCTCACCGTGGTCAGGCTCCGGGGTGCCGGCGCGAGGGCGGGGTGCTGGGCCCGGAGAGCTGCTCCAGGGCATCCCCTCCCGTCCATCGCCATAGTGCCCTGGTGGTCAGACTCAGGGAATCCAGCCAGAATGGGGACATGTAGATCTTGGATTGGGATGGTCTCGCTGGTAGACACCAGGGGTGACCAGTCAGGGGGTAGGGGTCAGGGGTCTGCCACCCCTTTGTCCCGTCAGCAGTAGGTCGTCCATTTCTACCTGCAGGGGCTGCTGGGTGTGGAGCAGGATCACTAGAGGGAAACCTCATCTCCCAGTGGACGCTCCACTGTGGTCCAACCCTCAGATGGAGCCAGAGGCGGGCAGTGCAGGAGGAAAGGAAGTCTGACCTGGCCCTGAGGGAGTGGAGGGGGGGCTGGCTGAGCGAGCCTGGCGCTGGGATCCTTTTAAATGTAGAAGCAGCTCCCGCCCCAGTGAGATCACGCTCCGGGGAGGACCAGCAAGGGAGCTGTTATCATGGGCCTAGTGTCGTGGTCGGCAAACTGCGGCTCGAGAGCCACATGCAGCTCTTTGGCCCCTTGAGTGTGGCTCTTCCACAAAAGACCACGGCCTGGGCGAGTCTATGTTGAAGAAGTGGTGTTAGAAGGAGTTGAAGTTTAAAAAACGTGGCTCTCCAAAGAAATGTCAATTGTTGTACCGTTGATATTTGGCTCTGGTGACTAATGAGTTTGCCGACCACTGGCCCAGGACGGCCCTGTGCTTTGCTGAGCACAGTGGGCACTGGCCGAGGCCAACGCTGTGGGTCTGTGGTCCCTGCCGCGCTGGGTGCTGTGGTCAGATGATAAGAAGGGCTGGCTCGGGAGGATTGTGGGCCTGGGTCACCTCTAGTCTACCCACCACGGCCCTGCTGGCATCAGACTCCAGCAGAGGGAAGTGGGTCCCGTTAACAGCAGCCCCACGGCGGTCAGACTCCAGGGGGGACTGGCTGGAAGCGGGATGACGGTGCGTGGGTCTCGCCCACAGGTCGGGAATGCCAAGCAAAACCTGCACGTCGTCAACATCTCCACGGGCAAGAAGGTGAAGGGCGGGTCCAGCAAGCTCACAGGCCGGGTCCTGGCTCTGTCCTTCGACGCCCCCGGCCGGCTGCTCTGGGCAGGGGATGACCGAGGCAGTGTATTCTCCTTCCTCTTCGACATGGCCACAGGTAGGCGGCCCCAGGCCCACATCCGGGTGCTCGCACTCCCGCCCTGCTGGTCCGCAGCCCTCGCCTCACTTTGGCCTCCTCTCCCCTCCGTGGCCGCAGGGAAGCTGACCAAGGCCAAGCGCCTGGTGGTGCACGAAGGCAGCCCCGTGACCAGCATCTCTGCCCGCTCCTGGGTCAGCCGCGAGGCCCGAGACCCCTCGCTGCTCATAAATGCTTGTCTCAACAAGCTGCTGCTCTACAGGTGGGTCTCCCTCCTCAGCCACCTGGAGATGGGGGAGAAGCCTGCCTCCTTTTCCTCTCCCCCTGCTCCTCTCCCTCTCCCCCTCCCCCTCCTCCTCCGATTATGATGACCTCAGTAGTAGCCGTAAAAAGTAATGGCAGCCCTGGCCGGCTTGGCTCAGTGGATAGAGCATCAGCCTGTGGACTGAAGGGTCCTGGATTTGAATCCTGTCAAGGGCACAGGCCTGGGTCACAGGCTTGATCCCCACTAGGGGGTGTGCAGGAGGCAGCCGATCCATGATTCTCTCTCATCAATGATGTTTCTTTTTCTTTTTCTTTCTTTCTTTATTTATTTTTTAAAATATATTTTATTGATTTTTTTACAGAGAGGAAGGGAGAGATAGAGAGCTAGAAACGTCGAGGAGAGAGAAACATCGACCAGCTGCCTCTTCACACCCCCTACTGGGGATGTGCCCGCAACCCAGGTACATGCCCTTGACCAGAATCTAACCTGGGACCTTTCAGTCCGCAGACCAATGCTCTACCACTGAGCCAAACTGGTTTCGGCTTTTCTTTTTATTTTTAAAGACATTTTTTATTGATGTCAGAGAGGAAGGGAGAGGAAGGGAGAGATAGAAACATCAATGATGAGAACCATTGATCAGCTGCCTCCTGCACGCCCTCTGCTGGGGATCGAGCCCACAACCAGAGCATGTGCCCTTGACGGAAATTGAACCTGGGACCCTTTAGTCCACAGGCCAATGCTCTATCCATCTAGCCAAACCAGCTAGGGCTCATCAATGATGTTTCTCTCTCTCCCTCTCCCTTCCTCTCTCTGTGAAATCAATAAAAATATGTTTTAAAAAATAGTAATGGCAGTAGCTAGCAGTTAGCTAGCAGTTACTGGGGCCAGGTCCTCTTCAAAGCACCTCATACATATAATCTCATTCAATCCTTATAAGCTCTGTGAGGTAGGTGCTCTTATCATGTCCATTTTATAGATGAGCAAACTGAGGCATAGCATGGACTAGGGCAGGGGTCTGCAACCTTTAAGACATAAAGAACCACTTGGACCCGTTTACGAAGGAAAAAAAAAAACCTGGGAGCCGCAAAACCATTGCGACATTTAAAACAAATATAACACTGCGTATATTGTTTCTTACCTTAATGCTCTATACTGGATCGTGCAGTTAGCTGTCAATCTGAAGAAAAAAAAGGACTTTTTCACTTAACAATGTAAAATATATTTTTGCAAATTAATAGCTAATTAAAATATTTAATTTACCTGGTTAATGGGATTTTGCTCCTGAACCTCAGTGCACAGTGTCAGCACATCAGGGCTGTCAGACGTTACCTTCATTTTCACACAGGCTTGCAAGTTGTCGGAGCCGTGGTAAAGCTTCAAAAGAGCCGCATGCGGCTCTGGAGCCGCAGGTTGCCGACACCTAGACTAGGGCCTCATAGAGCAGTGACTCGTTTTCCTTTTTTTGTTGAGGAGGGAAATTTTTCTGTCCCCACTCACATATATCATGCTACCAAATGCAGTTCTCAGCCTGGACCACATGTTGGAATGACCTGAAGGACTTCAAAAGTCATGGCCAGGCCCAGCTGGTGTGGCTCAGTGGTTGAGTGTTAACCTAGGAACCAAAAGGTCACGGTTCGATTCCAGGTCAGGGCACATGCCCAGGTTGTGGGCTTGATCCCCAGTAGGGACGGTGCAGGAGGCGGCTGATCAGTGATTCTCTCTCATTAATCTATCTCTCTCTCCCTTCCACCCTAAAATCAATAAAAATAATAATACAAAATAAGTCATGGCCAGGCCCCACTCCAGACCAGGGATTTCTTTTTAATTTTTAATATGTTTTTATTGATTTCAGAGAGGAAGGGAGAGGGAGAGATGGGAACATCAATGATGAGAGAGAATCACTGATCAGCTGCCTCCTGCATGCCCCACATGGGATTGAGCCCACAACGCCGGCATGTGCCCTTACCGGGAACCGAACCAGTGACCTCCTGGTTCATAGGTCGATGCTCAACCACTGAGCCATGCCAGCCGGATGGGGCCAGGGATTTCAGAAGCTCTGGGGCAACCTGGGCATTGGTATATTGAAAAGTTCCCCAGGTATCATGCAGCTATGCCTGAAGGCCACTTCCTGACAGGGATGCTTGCCATTTTGTTACCCTGTTTCCCCGAAAATAAGACAGTGTCTTATATTAATTTTTGCTCCCAAAGATGCGCTAGGTCTTATTTTCAGGGGTTGTCTTATTTTTCCATGAAGAAGAATACGGTACACATTTATTGTTAAATGAAAATAAAGGAAATTTATTACCTGTATACGGTATGGTAGTACGGTAGTTGTCAACACAAACCGGACAAACTGTGAATCCTACACTATCAAGAATTTACTCATTTATTCAATGACAATAATGTCATCATCTTCTGGAACATCATCATAACAATCCAATTCCTAAATTTTCTGGTGAATTTCTTGTGACTCCATTTCTTTCAGAATCAGTGGACCAAATCTCTCATGTTTAGCCTAGGGGGGGCCTTATTTTCGGGGTGATGCCTTATATTTCACTCAGAAGGAAACCTGTAAGTAGGTCTTATTTTCGGAGGATGTCTTATTTTCGGGGAAACATCTTGCCCACCGCCTGCCACAGTCAAGCATGTTAACAACTTTGAATGTAGAGTGTCCAGCCTTAACGGGTTTGGTTCAGTGGATAGAGCGTCGGGCTGCGGTCTGAAAGGTCCCAAGTTCGATTCCGGTCAAGGGCATGTACCTTGGTTGCGGACACATCCCCAGTGGGGGTGGGGGGCGTGCAGGAGGCAGCTGATCGATGTTTCTCTCCCATCGATGTTTCTAACTCTTTAACCCTCTCCCTCTCTGTGGGAAAGCAATAAAATATATATTTTTAAAAACACAGATAGAGTGTCCAAATGGTCCCTAAACCCCACACCAGCCATGCTTTCCAGGTTGACGCACTGGTCCCAGGACTGGATTTCATGAGCCTTGAGAGAACTCGGTGCAGGGACAGGGACAGGGACATGGACTAGCACAGCACGGGCCCCCTCGGGGCCTGAGGCTGCCCTGACCCGCTCTCCCCCCCTCAGGGTGGTGGACAACGAGGGCACCCTGCAGCTGAAGAGGAGCTTCCCCATTGAGCAGAGCTCGCACCCCGTCCGCAGCATCTTCTGCCCGCTCATGTCCTTCCGCCAGGGCGCCTGCGTGGGTGAGTGCCATGGGGCCGGGTGTCTGGGTGGCCGGGGACAGGCAGAGACCAGGCCGGTGCTGATGGGGCTCAGACACCGTGACACCCTGAGGCCCTGCCTTCCGGGCCCTGAGACCCCTCCCACCCTGGCAGCCTTGCACTTGGAACACGAAGCCCCCACCAGCTCAGACACCGCACTGCAGAGAGGGATTCTCTCATCCATCTCTCCGTGTAGAACCAAAAGGGCCAGTTAACCTCCCCGTCTAGGAAGGGGCCCCCTACCCTCAGGCACGCTGGGACCTCACAGGCTTTCCCTGGGGTCACCCCACCTCCTGCAACACCCGCTGACGGCCTGTCCGCCCCTGCACAGTGACGGGCAGCGAGGACATGTGCGTGCACTTCTTCGACGTGGAGCGGGCAGCCAAGGCCGCGGTGAACAAGCTGCAAGGCCACAGCGCCCCGGTGCTGGACGTGAGCTTCAACTGCGACGAGAGCCTGCTGGCTTCCAGCGACGCCAGCGGCATGGTCATCGTCTGGCGGCGGGAGCAGAAGTAGGAACCTCCAGGTCCTGCCCCGCCCACCTTCCCACCCGGCCCGCGCTCCGGCCTCCTGTTTGTAAATAAAGATCCTGTGCTCGTGCCCACGGCTGGCTCCCAGGGCTGCTGCGGGCACGGGAGGGGTGGGGAGAGGGCAGGCGTTCCCTTATTCATTCATGCATGTGTGCTCTGATTTCTTTTCTCAGCAGCCATTGACTGTCTGTCTGCCTCGTCAGAGGCACCACCTTGAGGGTTTCCCAGTCGTTCATTGACAGACATTGCTAAGTATGTCCTGTGGGTCAGGGACTGTTGTAGGCTCGGGGTAAGCTGTGACCTCAACTGACCAATCCCTGCCCTCCCTCGCAGGGTCGCATTCTAGTGGAAGCAGGTGGATAACGGAAATAGCTAATAGGCCAGCTGGAAATGGGCGTCGGGAGGAAAAAGAAAGCGAGGCCAGGAGAGCTCTAACTGGTTTGGCTCAATAGATGGATCGTTGGCCTGTGGACTGAAGGGTCCCAGGTTCGATTCTGGTCAAGGGCATCTGCCTTGGTTGCGGGCACATCCCCAATGGGGGCTGTGCAGGAGGCAGCTGATCGATGTTTCTCTCTCATCGATGTTTCTGGCTCTCCTTCCTCTCTGTAAAAAAATCAATAAAATTTATTTTTTTTAAAAAGAAAGTGAGGCCAGGAGATGGCGGTGCAGGCGTGGAAGGTTGGGCTCTTTTGGGTGCCGTCACCCTGGGAGACATCCCTGACTGTGAGAGGTAAACAGAGATCCGAATGAAGTGAGAGAGAGAGCCACGGCACCTGGGGGAGAACGGTCCAGACAGAGCCGTGCAAAGGCACGGAGGCCGGAACGTGCCCTAGGGGTGTTGGCAGAGGTCAATGTGGCAGGGAATGAGGCTTTTGTCTGAGTGAGGCGGAAGTCACCGTACTTTTTTTTTTTTATATAAAGTTTTCATAGATGCTACATAGAACATGGATGAACCTTAAGAACTTTTTTAAAAGAAACTGATTTCAGAGAGGAAGGGAGAGGGAGAGAGAAACATCAATGATGAGAGAGAATCATTGATTGGCTGCCTCCTGCACGCCCCCTACTGGGGATCAAGCCTGCAACCCGGGCATGTGCCTTGACCAGGAATCAAACCTGGGATCCTTCAGTCCGCAGGCTGATGCTCTATCCACTGAGCTATACCAGCTAGGGCTCACCGGACGGCCACTGCCTGGGCCCCACACCTGTCTGTGCATCGGGTTGTCCAGAAGCAGGAAGCAAAGGTGTTGAGGACTTGAAGTGCACGCCAGGGCAGGAGCGACCATGAACCCTAAGGCTGAGCTAATGGCTACTAGGAGTGGAGGACACGGGGCTTCTCTCCACCCCCAGAGGAATTCCAAACCACCCACAATTCCTCTCATGCCCACCCAGGGCCCAAAGTCCAGTCCTGGAACTACTCGGAGGCCACCAAGTGATGTTCAGTATTTGAGGGGACCGCTGAATGAGAAGAGAAAACTTGGTGATAGGTAACCCAAATCCCTTGCCAATGACCTGAGTCACCAGGAAATATCAACGTTGCCAGAAATGTCAGAGGCTCTTGGTCCAGCTGCTCTCTTCACTCCACCTCTATAGGCTGCCAAGTCCAGAAGCATCAGTGGGAAGCGTGACACCATCTTGAGACCTCAGGGTCAGTCCACAGAGTCACAGAGACACCAGCCTGGCCCAACATGGTTGAGCTGCTGACCTAACACCTCCTGTTGGTTACAGCCACTGTTGTTGGACTGGGTGGTTACTTGTAGCCAGAAGCAGGTCCTTGAATAACGCTATTTTGTTCAATGTCGTTTTGTGATCATGCTGATAAAATGCCTTAGAAACTGAACTCTGGTTGATATCAATGAGCCGGTGGCAAAATTGGTTTTGTTATATGTCGTTTTGCTTGAAGTAGAGAACCTGTTGATGACTTTAAGTGAGGACTTACTGTGCTTCCATCTCAGAGACCCTTAAGTAAATGGTGATGAGATGGGGGACAGCAGAGAGCTGGACTGTTCAGGATCAAGGTCATGGATACACCAAGTGGCCAGATGATGATGATCTCTGAACCACTGAGATGTGGTTCACTCCGTGTCTGTCCTATAGAATAAAAGGCTAATATGCAAATTGTCCCCTCCACAAGGAGTTTGACCAGCAGGCAGGCCGGCCAACCGCTCATGTCCCCTCCCCCTGGCCAGGCTGGCCGGACCCCACCCATGCACGAATTCGTGCACCGGGCCTCATATATATACACACACTGAATGGCCAGATGATTATGCGTTCAGAGATCATAATCTGGCCACTCAGTGTATATGTGTGTTGGAGGGCCTCAGGACCACCCAGAAAATGATTTGCTAGGTGGACCCAGTCTCAGCATATACCTGGTGATGGTTTCTTCCAGCAAAAAGATACAGAGATCAGCCAGCAAGGGCAAAGGCCCATGGGATAAAGCCCAGGAGCGCAAGCTGCCAGGGATCCTGTCCAGGTGGAGTTGCACGGGACATGCAATTCCCTCGGCCCTGGGTTGTGATAACACACGCGAAATGTTTCCAACCAGGGAAGCTCCTGAGAGACTCAGCACGCAGGGTTTCTATTGGTGGCTGGTCACCTAGGCAACCCCTTTCCGGTACATCTACAACTTCCAGGCTCCCAGAGGGAAGCAGGTGTTCAGCATAAACCACGGTGCTTAGACGAATAGAGTAGTGAGAGCCATTCTGAAATCTACGTTTCCAAACGCCAGCCAAGAGCTCACCTTGAAGCAGACCTTCCCAAGGGCAGCAGTTTGGGCATGCTCTGTTAACCCTTCTGCACAGCGTGCAGCACCCAAGGGTTGCTGAGTTCCATCCAAAGTCAGGGATGGGCAAGATCATTTGGGCGGGTTTCACTGTTCTCAAACTCTCCTTCACGCTCTTCATCTTCTTTGTGGAGTCTGGATTCAAGATGGCTGATCATGCATGTTGTTATACATGACTTTGGAGGTTTTCTCATTGTAAAATTCGGAGGTGGCAGAGTTGACATCCTGCTTTGACATCATCTTCAGCCCTAGCTGGTATGGCTCTGGTTGGGCGTCATCCTGTGAACTGAAAGGTTGCTGGTTTGATTCCCAGTCAGGGCATGTGTCTGGGGTACAGGCTCGATTCCTAGTAGGGAGCATGCAGGAGGCAGCTGATCACTGATGTGTCTCTCTCTCTCTCTCTCTCTCTCTCTCTCTCTCTCTTCCTCCCTCTCTCTAAAAAATCAATTTTTAAAGCTTTTTAAAATAAATAAATACAATAATCTTCAATGAATAATGAGCATAAAATAAAAAGAATCTTATTGGTCAAATTGGGCCTCTGTTCGTTTATCCATCATCTCCGTGCCTCTGGTTTAACCTCAGATCCCGAATGCTTAGTCATCTGCCACCAATGCCACTCACGTCTTGCCTCAATCCCAGGCCTCCGTTAATGTCCCATGTCCTTTGTCTGACTTCAAATCTGTGTGTTTACTTCAACAGAAGCCTCCCTGGTCTGAGCTGGAAGCTGGGCCTTAGTTGGTTATTACCTATCCGTGCACCACTGGTCAGTCCTCAAACCAGGCCTCTGTATGCTATTCTACCAGCTACTGTCTTCTGAGCTGACCTTGAATTTGGAGATTCTCTGGATTGTGACCAGTGCCCTTTTGCTCCAATCCAACCTTTAAGGCCCTCAGTCCTGACCTTGAATCTGAGTGTCTATTATTTTCCCAGCAATGCCCTGACGGGGCCCATTCTACATGGGGTCCCCAGCCCAGGGGGTATTCCTCCAAGTGTGGGTCAGCTGAAAGCAATGCAGGCCCCGTGAAGCCACGGTGGCCCAGTGGGCAGCTCCGGAGCAGGCATTGCCAGTCAGAGCACAGCCCTGCGGAGAAGAAATGCCCAGCTCTGTACCTCTCTCTGCCCTGGCAGGGCGGGACCCCAGGGGAGGTGACTCCAACGCTGAGCCCTGAGAGGCTGCCAGCTGCCCAGCGAGCGCTTCCTTGAAACGGGTTTGGCCGGTGCCAGGAAAGGCGCTGTGAACATGAACAAATATGCCACCTGGGGAGGAACTGGGGACCCAGGTTAAATGCTGGTTCCTTCGTCAGTCAGCCCACAGACCTGAGCCAGGAGCCTCACGCTCTACCTCCATTTTCCCAGACTCAGCTGAGGGTCCGGGAGTCATCTCATTTATTCTGCTGACGCATATTGACCGAGTCTCCACACTGGGCAGGCACTGTCAGGATATAATCGTGAACAAAACAGGTAAAACCGCCCGGCCGGTGTGCTTAGTGGTTGAGCATCAACCTATGAACTAGGAGGTCACAATTCAATTCCCGGTCAGGGCACATGCCCAGATGTGGGCTCAATCCCCAGTGAGGGGCATGCAAGAGGCAGCCAATCCATGATTCTAACTCTCCCTTCCTCTTGGAAATCAATAAAAAGGTATAAAAAAAAGAAAAACAAGCCCTAACTGGTTTGGCTCAGTGGATAGAGCGTTGGCTTGCGGACTGAAGGGTCCCGGGTTCGATTCCGGTCAAGGGCATGTACCTGGGTTGCAGGGACGTCCCCAGTGAGGGGGATGTAGGAAGCAGCTGATCAATGATTCACTCTCATTGTTGATGTTTCTAACTCTCCCTTCCTCTCAGAAATCAATAAAAATGTATAAAAATGGAAAACAGACCAAACCTCTGCCTTCACTGATCCCTGACGCCCATCCAGTGACGCACACGCAGAGCACACGTCACTCCCGGCCTTGCCTGTTTGACTCACGGTACGTGCAGTGGCCTCAATGCATATTCAGACAGATGATGCTGGCGGGGAGTGGAGGAAATAGCCAGCTGTGTTCACATGGAGGGAGGGAGGGAGAGAGAGAAGGAGGGAGGGAGGGAGGGAGGGAGGGAGCCGCCACAGCAGTTCTTAGCAGGAGCTCAGAGAGATAAGCTTTTACAAGGGTTTTTCCAGCAGCAGTCAATAAGCCAAATGCGGGAAAAAGACATTTTTACTGCGTATCACCCTGCTCCTCCCATGGATCCAATAGGGAAAATAGGCTGCCGGTCCCGCTGTGGGTTAAATGTTCGCTTTTGGTTTGTAGCCACATTATTTCCCATCCGTGGCAGCAATGATTGGGATTTTGGGTTATGATCTGACCATTGCGTGAGCTCTGGGAATAAATGAATGGAGCTCTGTGGGCGGATGGATGGATGGGGCGGGGGGGGGGATGGGTGGGTGAGATACCACAGAGCATGTAGTTTGTTAGCCTGCAGCTCTTGCCTCTGCAGAAGTGAAGCTTTAAGTGCTCCGGTCTGAGTCTGTCATTCGTTCAGTATTGTGTGTGTGTAACGTTTTCCTGTCTCCAGAAGGCATCAAAAATCATTTTGCGAAGTCTGTTAAATGAAAAGAGCTCGGGCCCTGACCGGTATGGCTCAGTGGTAGAGCGTCGGTCTGCGGACTGAAGGGTCCCAGGTTCAATTCCGGTCAAGGGCATGTACTTTGGTTGCGGGCACATCTCCAATGGGGAGTGTGCAGGAGGCAGCTAATCGATGTTTCTCTCTCATTCATGTTTCTAATTATCTCTGTACCTTCCTCTCTGCAAAAAATTAATAAAATATATTTTAAAAAATTAAAAGAGCTCTGTTCTAATTGGCATATCGAAAGAATTAAGCACTTATACAAATCAAATATTCCTAAAATCCCAAGAAAATGAGGACATTGACGTGTGGTAGACTTGAAAAAAATTCTTCTTTCATAAACTACCTTAGAGGCTTTTACAAAATCCAGGTTGACATAAATAAGGTAAATCTTTAGCAAATGAAACCAGTTTACTAACCTTGGTTTAATAAAAACAATTATGTGTTCTCTGGTTATCAATGTTAAGTATAATACAAATGTGCATTTTATTATACAGTACTTGGGTTTGTTTTTTTCCTAAATTCATACAGGTTTACTGCCCAAATAAGCAGCTGTTACTCCACTGTATTGTTTAAGATACGAAAAATGTGTATTTGTGTTTAACTCAAATGAGTCATTATTCTGATAAATTTATTTCAACAGCAACTGAATTTTGTAGTATGTCCACTTAAAGATAATTTCCAGGGCCCGGCTGGTGTTGCTCAGTGGTTGAGCATAGACCCATGCACCAGGAGGTCATGATTTGATTCCTGGTCAGGGCACATGCCAGGGTAGTGAGCATAATCCCATTGATATTTCTTTTTTAAAAAAATATTTTTATTGATTTCAGAGAGGAAGGAAGAGGGGGAGAGAGAGAGAGAGTTAGAAACATCAATGATGAGAGAGAATCATTGATCAGCTGCCTCCTGCACGCCCCCTACTGGGGATCAAGCCTGCAATCCAGGCAAGTGCCCTTGACGGAATAGAACCTGGAACCCTTCAGTCCACAGGCTGACGCTCTATCCACTGAGCCAAACTGAGTAGGGCCCCATTGATGTTTCTATTCTCTCTCTCTCTCTCTCTCTCTCTCTCTCTCTCTCTCTCTCTCCCCCTTCCTCGCTCTGCAATAAATAAAAACATATTTTTAAAGGCCTAGCCTGATTGGCTCAGTAGATACAGCCCACAAACTGAAGGGTCCCGGGTTCGATTCTGGTCAAGGCCACTTACCACGGTTGCAGGCTCGATCCCTGGCCCTCGTCGGGATCATGGGGGAGGCAACCAATTGACGTATCTCTCACATCAATCTCTCACATCAATGTGTGTGTGTGTGTGTGTGTGTGTGTGTGTGTATGTGTGTTTAGAACCTACTCCAGACTTACTGAACCCCCTTACATAATATCCTTGGTATAATTTGTATACTATGTCTTAGGATTATTATACATATCAGTATTTTTTCTTCATAAAAATTATTCATCCATTTTGTCACCCATTTTTATAAATCAGATATAGGATTCTCTGATGTCTTTGGGAAAATAGGTTTAATCATTGGCCTTAGAGACATGTTATCTAACATTTTTTTTCCCCCTGGAATGGCTTAAAACCAGACATGCATTATCTCACGGTTTCTATTGGTCTGGAATCTGGGTGCAGCTGGGGTGGATAGTTGTGACTCAGGTTTTGTCGGGAATTGGCATCTGGGGCCATGGGGTCCATTGCCAAGAAGGCCCACTGACGTGGCTGGTGGTTGATGCTGGCCGCTGGCTGGGGTGCTTTGGCTCCCCCTGTGCGTCCTTTTATCCCCCAGGTCTCTTTCCCATATGGTTTTCCCAGCAGGATAGCCTGCACTTCTTTACCTGGGGGGGCTCCCCAAAGGGAGAGGATTACACAGGGGCATGACCCCTAGGAGGCGGGGTGAGGGGTCATGGGAGACAACCTTGGAAGCTGCCTACCACACTGCCCCTAAAGTGTGGACCCTAGACAAATATTTTTTCACAGGATCTGTATCTATAGAAAAAAATCTGAATAAAAATCTATTACAAAATCATGGGTCCAAATAAGCTGGTGTGAGTTTTTTCTTATTACTGATTTCAGAGGAAGGAAGAAGGAGAGAGAGAGAGAGAGAAACATCCATGATGAAGAGAGAATCGTGGATCTGCTGCCTCCTGCACGCCCCGCACTGGGGATCCAAGCCAGCCGGGCATGTGCCCTGACTGGGAATGGAACCGTGACCTC